CCCGTGTTGAGATTGCGCTGGAACCCCCATTCCCTATACTACTACTCGTAACCAATAATTTATCCAGAATATAAATTAATTTACTGTACAATAATTATAAAGAATTAAAGCATTTATTAAAACTCCAGTTCTGATTTTTTATTTATATTCATTTAGAGCACAAAGCCATTCTCTTAAAGCTAATTTGTAGCCACTATTCTTTTTTTTTTTTTTTACATTTTACTTTGGATTTATAAACAGAAATTTGTGAAAATCTATATTCATTTGATGTATTCATATTGAATTTTTTTTCATTTCCTGTTTTGAATTTACATTTTAAGTAAAGCTTGAAGTAAACCTTATCAGTACTTAAAGCACTAGGGGAAGTTTGTTTTATAGAGCACTAAGACTTATTCCAATAATTTAAAAAAAACAATTCCTCGAAATTTTCTCATTTTTTAACTACGCATTTTGGCTTCCTTTGTGAAAAATGTCTCAGTTTTTGTTAAAATTATTTTGACAATGACAGATAATATGTCAATAAATATGCACTTTTTAAGTCTATATTGTTGTATTAAATACAGAAGAAAGTGATATTTTTAAAGGCACTTAAGTTTAAAAACTTTTTGAACTATGAATACATTTGAATTATTTCGTGATTTTTTTTTTTTTTTTTTTTGCTCATATATTTTGACTACATTAAGCATTCTAAATCTTTCAAAAAAGTGTCAAAAAAAGTCTCTTTCATTTTTAGATAGTTTTTGCATTTATGTATTTCATTTTTTACTCCGAGAGATTTAAATTTTGGTCAAATTAATGGAATATGAGAAGAAATAAAGTGACTCTTAAATTTAAAGGAGAAAAAACCTTTTGAACACCTGTGCAGTTCGAATTTTGCGGCTTTTGCTCTGACATTGTCCTTAACGCTGATTGGCTCAAACCTTGACTCATTGTTTTCTCCTGTAAATCTGATTGGTCGAAAAACGATGAAAGGGTTTTCGTCAGTTTATGTCGAATGAAAACATCGAAGATAAAAGCCAACTAACAGCTGGACTGAACAGACTTTGATCTCCTTTTTTTGCCATGTCTTGCCCCAAAAAAWCCCGTCTTTGCACCGATTTCTACCGAAACACCAAGTTAAGATCCTTGTCTTCAAAGGCACTGAAGTGTAGCCATGGTAAGTTGATGTTTTCGGGAACATTTTCGAGTTTTCTTTCAGGTGTTCTTCGCAACGAACTTTGCTGCCCTTTGTTGGCTCAAAACGGAAGTATCTATACCTGATTCAATTTTTGTGTTTTTATCCAGTATCGGAGAAAAAAGAAAGCGTATCTAAGGTTCAACAGGGGAAAGTAAGAAAAACAAGGAAAACTTCTAAAAATCTACGAAAATCTGGAATGTAAGTAAGATTTCTACGCTCAATATTGAATCCTAAAAATATCCAAAACATTTGCAAGCCGGCCAATTAAAAATTCTGCGTGTATATTATTTTTTCTTTATTATTGATTAATTTTTTTGTAGATCTTACAGTTATTCTTAGAAAAATATTGTTTAGAATTTTATTTTATTGTTGTCAATCTTTAGATCTTACGATAGTTTTTCTTATTTTTTCTAGGGAAAAAGTTCAGCCACATCTTTACAAAACTGTCAACTTTCAAAAACCTTTGGAAGGCTCTTCGTGTAAACTACGTAAGATTACGACGCTTTTCAACTGCAAACCCTTGCTAAATGGTAAGCATATTTATTTTTCTACATGCAGACAGGGTTTGAGGAGCTAAAACGATGCGAGTTTTAAAAATCAGACATAGTTTAGTCATCTTTGTTTTTCACTTCTTTTGTTGCAACTCAATTCAATGGAGGCCACGTGCCGAAGTCACGATTTGCTGACTTCTTTTCTTTCCTAAAAATACGTAGCGGTAGCTAGAAGTTATGAGATTTAAAAAGATGAGACCTTAAAAATCATCCCACAATTCGTTACTAAAATAGCGATAAATTATTCTGTAATGAAATTATGGGTTTAAGCTTGGAGAAGAACGAAAGATGGTGAAAGACGACCACACACTTGGTTTGTTTGGTAATGTTACGGTACATTAACTTTCATATGGCCACACGTTTTTCGCGTTGAAACTTGTCTAAACGAATGTTACTACACATGTTAAGGTTTTCATTTTTTTTTTAAGCCGGTCACGCCCTTGAAATCAAGCTTTTTAATCCTCTTTTCTCGATAATCAATATACTAATATCAAACAAAGAATTCTACCTCCTGAAAAAAAGATGTTTACCCAAAAAAGATTACAAAGAGGCCGAGTTTCTCTCTTATAGTGTTTTATCACACATGGTTTTAGGGTGTTAATTGCTGGAAAACATATCCCAACCACTAAATCTGTCTTTTTAACTGTTTTAAGCTATGCAAAAATCATAAAAGCAGGTGTAAAGCATATTTGCAAATTACAAGGACAATAACCTAATACACAACCACTCCCTGGATTAAGTAGTTTGAATTCTAAATGACAAAATAGGTATTTTTTTGTTTCCATGTTGTTAGAATACTAAATGGTTTGAAATATCTAACGCTCTACTTATTCTCCATCTTTACCATTGAATTTGGCCTGAAAAATTAAGGATTCATGATCCCAGACAAAGGAATAATTATAATGATATACGAAATGAGGGAACATTTCTTGATATTGACAAAAAACAAACAACACAAAAGATCAATATGTATTTATATATGTTTCTTTTTTTGAGATTAAAAGGCTTACACTATATAAAGGGATATTAATAATAAAGAAATCCATGGTTATATATCACTGCACCAGCAGACTTAAGCTATTTGCTTATATTGTTTTATTAAAAAGCATATAAGTTACAAGCATTTTAAAAATGCAAATTTTTATTTTGGCTTCTGTTTTGTTTGTCTGCCTTATTATTATTTAATAAGGAGTACTGCAGAAAAAAAACCCCATCATTTAACCCTTAAAGCATATAATATCCTTTATTATATACCAAGTGTCAAAGTTCCATTTTCCTCAATTTCTATCGGTCAAGAGTGTGTCACGTGAACATGAAGAAATTCAACTGTTTCCTGCGACCATTCTGGGAGGGGAATATTATGTTATGGACCGGGAATAACAAAACTGGAAGTCATGGATCGAAAAAATATAAAAACCGGAAACCAGAAAGCAACACATTTGAGAGCTCGTTTGCAAAATTCAGAAAACATCAGATTAAACATGGAGTCTTCGGAGTTGTGTATTAAAAACATTTAAAATCTTATTCATTTCTCCATTTTTGTTTTGTTCTCTTTGACACTTGGTATGATAATAAAGCACTTATTTACTGGAACCTCRGGGAAAGCAGTATGTTTTGTGGTCCCTTGACCGCTGATGTTTTCCTCGGCTTGGCCTCGTGAAACATCAGCGGTCTCAGGGCCACAAAACATACTGTTTCCCTCAGTCCCAGTAAATAAGCGTTAAATATATACCAGCATTTTAAGTTAACATTCTTTTATTCATTGTTGCATTGACTTTAATAAAATGCAGGGCAGGAATAAATAATTACTCACTAAATACAAAATTTCGCTTGCATCTTGTGAGCATTATTTTTGTGCCCTGAAATACCACTTAAAATAATTATAGAAATAGAGGAGAAGAGAGAGGAGAAAATGGAAAAAATGAAAGATGTAGGGTAGCATGGGTGGCTTTCGTGGCTAATGTGTCGTCTTTCACTGCTGAGTCCAATGGGTCAGGTTGCTGGTTCGAGCCATGCGGTCGCCATGTGAATTGAGTTTGTTTGATGTGTTACGTTCTCTCCCTTGCCACAAGGGTTTTTCTCTGGGTTCTACGGTTTCCTCCCTCCATAAAAATCAACATGTGAGTTGAGCGATGTGTGCATAGAATATTGAATGAAGTGGTAG